ATTAAGAATCTGCGTGTTGTCAACTCACGAGTTGACTTCAGTTGACCACTGCGCACTACCTTTTAATACTCGAGTTCTTTGACCTTTGACCTTCGACGCTTGACTTCTCGGGGTGATCATATGTTAAACGTGGTTGGTGCTTACCGTACATAAAGTTTTTTGTACCGGGCATGTGGATGGCTCTGATATAGAACTGCTGTGCGTAGAGGTATCGATGGAGCAGTGCTCCATTGAGGCAACCTTCTCCATGCTTGCAGAGAGGTTGCGGAAGTATCTCTGCTACTCTCTCTTCCGGTGCATCTGCTGTGCCACTGCCACCCAAGTGTCCTGCTGGTCTCCAGGATGAGTCACAGCAGAAAGGAATAGGAAGTCATTGTAGCTGACACTGGTCCTTCAAATCACAGTCTGAAGCCTCAGTTTCTATGGATTCCGCTTGAGTTTTCATATCCCCTGTTTCTTTGATGTCGAAACAATAAGGAACAGGGAAGATGAAATCATTTTTTTAACAAGGAGAATGTTTTCATGAATTATGGGAGTTAGAATATGAACTAAATACATGACTTTGAATGGTATTTAACATGTACAGCAGAATATTACAGGTTCTTCAAGCTGTCAATTAAATCCAAAGTCTGTGATGCCCATTTCCAGAATTTCTTTGGGACAAACCAAAGCATGATGGACAAATAAAACTATATCATACATCTGAAAAACATTACAAAAAGATGTACTTTGGATTCAACATTTACTTCAATTAAGAAAAACCATCAGGTTTTTTGATGATATCACTTGATTTTATCCTGAAAGGGTTCTAGTTGTACAGGAAATATGCCTCACATTTAATGATGAATCATTGCAGAATTTGCAGCCAATATTCAGATGACACCAAATTAAACACCAGTTTTGGCCAATATGGCCTTTTTTTTTTTTGTGTGTGCGGAAAGTTGAACAACATCAGAACTTCTGCAGTATATGAGAAACATGTCAGGAAGTCATATTTTCACAAGTAAAGAACCATCTGGTGTTGACATTCATACTCATTATTCATGCTAATGAATTTCATATGGACATACTTCTATATAGTTTTCCATCTAGTGTTGTGAAGAAAACTCAATTGTATGATTACTAGTCATGTAGGTATTTCTTACCTCCACAAGAAGTTCATAAATGTCATTTGTTTGCAGCTCATGATCTTCGTAGATTATGCTGGAGCATTTCTTCCTGCAACCAACCATTCTCCTTGGAATGGCATAACCCTTGCCGATGTTGTCATGCCATTTTTCTTGTTCATAGTTGGAGTTGCACTTGCACTCACATACAAGGTAAAAGCCTAATGGCTTGAAAAATATTTAATCATATGCTCATTTTTTTAAATTTATTATAGATAAAAAAGTATGCATATTTCCTCGGTAAAAGCATCTTTCTCAAGTGAAAGTAAGATTCTAAGAACGCTTTACTTGATTCTCAGAGAGTCTCAAGCAAAGCCATAGCAACCAAGAAAGCTGTACTTCGAGCAATGAAGCTCTTCATTGTAGGCCTTATTGTTCAAGGTATGCCACTCTTTCTTTTCACTAAGTCAAAATACATGATCTTTATCATATAAAAGCATTTATTCAAGGAATTTTGATTCCTTTCTTCGTTATCTTAAGATAATATTTGGTTGATTCCTTAGGTGGTTTCTTCCATGGCCTTCACAATTTAACTTATGGAGTTGACATTTTGAGAATACGATGGATGGGCATATTACAGGTAGTACATTCATTTGCTATGAAGCAAGATAATTTATATGGATTATGGAACCATTCATATTTACAACGCCTTCTATACAATCATACTAGCAATACTTTTAATTCTGATCCAACATGCATCATTTCTCTATCCATGAATTCAAGCACATTACTATTGTAATACTTTGATCTATCATAGTCATAAAATCTCAATACACCTCCAAGTTGGAAGCAAATAACAAAGTCCCATATCATTCTCCGAAAACTGGGCATTCTTTTAACGTGTCACTGTCTTTCTAAAGGTTACCTAATCAAGTATTATTTTGTTGCAGAGAATTGCAGTAGCCTATCTGTTGGCTGCAGTATGTGAAATCTGGCTTAAAAATGACGATGATGATAGTGATGTCTACTCTGGATACTACCTAATCAGGCGATACCGATTTCAACTGTAAGTATTACTGTACATATATTTTGTGCAACCATGGTGTTATTTGATGGGTCTCTAAGTTGAATTTCTCAAGTAAAAACATGGAAAAGAAAGGAACTGAAATAGAGTTCAATAGAGAATCAGATATATAGAGAGCGTTTCAAGAGAGCTAAATACCTAGAAGTTCCTTACCATCAACTACCTTGAATTGCCTTGTCTGTCTATGAAGCTATGTTCATCATACTCACAATTTGACTTCTTTCAGGCTGGTGAGTTTGATTCTTACTACCATTTACATGGTTCTCCTGTATGGTTTATATGTTCCTGATTGGGAATATCAGATACCAGTGGCAGGCTCCAAGACCAAGTCCTTCTCAGTTAAGCCTATGCATCTCATTACACGCTCCACCAATGCTTAGAAACTACTATCATTTTGGGTCTATAAATATTTTTTAAGATGAATTCCTAAACATATAATTAACAAATTTTATAAATACCAGGTCAAATGTGGGGTGAGGGGTGACATAGGACCTGCTTGCAATGCTGTGGGAATGATTGATCGTCAAGTCCTTGGCATCCAACATCTGTATCAACGTCCCATGTACGAAAGAACAAAGGTCTCAGACACACCGGTTTTATTTCATTAGCTATCGCCCCAATTATTTTTTATTTCCATCCATAATCTTCTAGTTTCTTACTCTTTCTTCAGCAATGCAGCATAAATTCACCAGCTAGTGGCCCACTTCCATCTGATGCTCCTCCATGGTGCCAAGCTCCTTTTGATCCTGAAGGGCTACTTAGGTCAGCTTTGTTACTTAGGTCTCTTGGCTTTTTTTCCTGACAACTAGAAGTGATGATAGTTAATGATGCAGTTCTGTCATGGCAATTGTTACTTGCTTGATCGGGTTGCAATTCGGGCATGCTATCATACATTTTAAGGTACTAGTTATATATTGAATCTGTCTTAGCTTCAAAAACATCTTTAACACTCTTGAACTAACTGCAGGGTCACAAGAACAGAATTATACAGTGGATGATTCCTTCCTTATTTCTATTAGTGTTCGCCTTTTTGTTGGACTTCGGATTTGGTATACCAGCTTTCTAGTTCATATCACTGTGATTACAGATTGATTAACTTCCAACACCAAGTAAACTTTATCTTTGTTATAGGAATGCATATGAACAAAGCCCTGTACACATTAAGTTATACATGCTTCACTACTGGGGTTGCTGGGATTCTCTTCACTGGACTATATGTGTTGGTTAGAGATCCAAAACTGTTCACTTCTTTCAAACATTTCCATTCAATATGTATAATTCTTTCATCTAGGGGTACAACCAGATATGACTACTCACTCTTGATGTCTACAGGTTGATGTCTGTGGCTGTAGGAAGCCAACCTTGGCTTTGGAATGGTTGGGGATGCATGCACTTATGATCTACATTCTAATAGGCTGCAACATCTTGCCAGTCTTTATACAGGGATTCTATTGGAGGGAGCCTAAGAACAATGTCATGAGTAGCTTAATCTAACAAACCCTTCCCTTGTGCCAGCTTTTGCTTTTACAAGTGCATGCTAACCACAATCAGGGAAAGTGGAACAACTTTTTGTTGTTGTGATCTATGAACAGCTGAAGGTCATTGGCATTTCCTGAAACCTCGACAATAACAAGAGGAATGCAGGATCTCGTGACATGTAACTTTTGTCTACAAACAAAAAGGGAAAGAAATGTATGCAATTTCTTAGTTCAAGTTTCTAATGCTTGCAGAACAGGATCTGCTGTGTTGGTGTGAATGCATGATCAGCCATGTTTTTTCTGAGCATGTAAAATGGATATTACAAGTTTTATCATCTACAAGTTTTAGCTCTGTGCATTTCAAGCATTACTTGCTCTACACTCAGGATCACCAGATGACACGATAACTATCAGTTTCTTTTACTATTGAATCTAGCAAAAGTGGGTTAATGATTCTACAAGGAAAATGCCATTCACAAAGCTGGGCAATCGAAACTAGCCAAGAAAAACTGCCACGTGATGACATCAAGATAAACACAATTTGAACTTTCTTTGTGAGGTCTTATGATTATGCATGCAGTCAGAACTGTTTTATGAATTATGATACATAATTATTTTTTAGTTCTATTGTATCACTGTAGCATACTGACTCTAGTCGTATGGAAGGAAACAATTGATAGATCAGTTTATGAAGTGGCATATAGACATATATTGCAGACATGATGGGATGAAACCATGTATGAAAACCATATTTACAAGTTATGCTCGCATACCTAGGTGGACAATAGATTTAGAGAAGCATGTTCGGGTTGTGATTGGTGAGATGGAATTGATTGCATCCCTTGTAGTGTCGCTTGATCCGATCAATCATCCTTTCATGGTTTGCTCAAACTGGCACTTTCATCTGCATGAAAACATACAGAAATAATTAAACCAAACACCAAAAGACATGAGTCTGCATTGAATAATTTGGCATGGTCAGAGGCATTCAAAGATCATGCCACGAGTCTACACCTTGGAACAAGAAGGATAATCAAGGAATTGGCGAATAATTCACTCATGATCCAAGAAAGATTCAATTGCAAATGAGTAATTTCACGACTCCTGTTGAGTCTTCTCCCGGATGACCCATCAAGAGGCAGCAAGAGGGTTGCCATAACCAGCACAACCTCATAACAATACACGGGATGAAAAAGTTCTCACGGCTAATGGCTTCTTACGCAAGAATTGAAGCAATAGTTCATAATTCTCATCAACAGAATAGTTCAAGCTAAAGTGCCTAAGCACCATATAAAATCCAGAAAACAATTATGACAAAACATCTTTGTAATATAACACAACTGCATGTCGGCTGAGCCTCACTTTTATTGATGTAGCAAAAGATTCAAATAGATAATGTCATGACAAGAGCATAACTGAAGTAGCATTCGGCTAAGCTACTGAAGCATTCACCACAAAAAGACCTACTGACAATGCTCTCACACACTTAATGTGCTTATTACACAAGCACTATGTTGATTTTCCCCTGGCGGGGAAGGAAAACTAGGCACGAGTAATTCGAGTATTCTATTTCTGCAATCGTATTAGACCTCAAAGAAATGTGTCAAGAGTCAAGGAAATGGACGAATCTCATAATCTTGTACTAGCAATCACGTAGCTCAATTAGCTGGTCCACAACACTTGGGTCGGCAAGTGTACTGGTATCACCAAGTTCATCTAGCTGCCTGGATGCAATTTTTCGTAGGATCCTCCTCATGATCTTTCCACTCCTCGTCTTTGGAAGTCCAGGTGCCCAGTGGATTTTGTCAGGGGCAGCAAATGCACCAATCTGACAAACGAGGAATCTTTTAAGTTAGTGCATTGCCAAATAAGCTTACTCATATTTGTGTCAAGACCATGATATATCGTACTGATGCAAAATTGCGCTACCAAGGTGACATTGCACATTCATATTTTCTATGCAACAGAAAAGTTAAAGCAAGGAAAGCACTCACTTCTGAACATTAGTCTGATCTATAAACACAATCTTCTAGTTCGATGCTAATCAGATAGGCAATCAAGTATTATTGATCACTTGAACATTGGAGTCAATACATTTTAGATTGAGAATCTGAACTAGACCAAGAAGCCAAATTATTATATGAGATCAAAATTCTCAATTAGTTTAAATTGACAATTAATTTACAAGAAACATGTAGCTTTCTGCAGGAAAAGAAAAGTGATTTGTTGTAGCCTCATTCCTTTTGATTTAGACAACTTGAACTTAGGACATTCAATTGACACAAAAAAGAAATCCTTCTATTGGGGTTAAGAATTCAATTTCCAAGATGGTGTTTAACTTCCAGAATATAGGTGAAAAATCTTATATAAAAATGGCACAGTACTACAAATTAAACCCAAAAAAAATCTAACAATAGGTAAAAAATTCCAGAAATAAAATTAATTCTGCACCATCAATTGTTGAAAAAACTGAATAAGCAAAATAAAAGAATCATGCTTCTACTCGAATACAACAATCTTAGAAATAAACTTACTTCTGCACCATCACTTGTTGAAAAAACTGATTAAGAAGAATAAAAGAGCCACGCTTCAACTACATATACAATTCTGAACCATCTAATCCCACATGATTCCAAGTCCTAATCAATCCATGTCTCTTTTCTCATCCCTATGCTTCTATATCTATGTCACTGTATCTGAAACAAGGGTTCAGCAATTGCAAGCTATGACTGCATCCTTTACAAACTTAACCTAGACATCTATTGCCAGATGAATCATGCATTTGACATGCATGGTACAGATGTACATTGCACTGCACCCTGTCACCCTTTTCCCAGTCATGCAGATTTGCATATTAAGTTTATAGAGATTCATGTTTCGTAAAACTGAGGCATAAACTGGCAGTAGGTTCAAAACAGTATTCAACATGATACCGTAAGCCTACAGCCAGAGACTTGAAGCTACCACAGAACATGGGACACGAAAACAAATCCAGCAAAACATCTACAAGTGACAGGCCAGTTTATTTGTGATGTTGGGTGGATTAAATAACTTTATAATGATAACTTTACAAGAATCACACCTGGTTTCGGACAATCAAAATGAGGCTTTTCCGTAGCTCTTCACTGTAAGGAACACCCTCCACTAAAGTGACAAAAGCATAAATGCCCTGTCCTTTAATCTGACAACAAGATAGGTTTTGGTATAACTATCAAGGTTGACAACTGGTTGATGCTTATGATGGTGCAGCCAGCAGAAAATAGGTTTTGCATTGTACCTCATGTTCAACACCAACTACAGCAGCCTCAGCACACTGGGGATGTGAAACAAGAGCAGATTCTACTTCTGCAGTGCCAATACGATGTCCACTGAAAAGAATTCAAGTGCAACATAATGAAACTCTATCCAAATGTATACAGTAAGCATGTAGTAATTTCAAAGTACCTGACATTGATGACATCATCAACTCTCCCAGTGAGCCAATAGTAACCATCCTTGTCCCTGAAATATCAATGTAATTAACAAGAACACTGTGATCATCAAAACCAAGTTTTATAATATCTATTAAGACCTGAAAGAGTGATTTTGGACCAATTGATGCTCGAAAGAAAGTTACCTGCTGCATCCATCACCAGTAAAATAATAACCAGCAAATGGTTTAAAATATGTTGTTTCATATCTCTCATGATCACCATACAGTGTGCGGAATGCCCCAGGCCATGACCTCTTGATGCAAAGATATCCGCTACATTCACCTTCTATCTCATTCCCTTTCTCATCAACTATAACCGGCTGCAGCACTCTTAACAGTATTTGAGAACAACAAAATATTTCACATCTAAAACCTTTATTTCAAGTTAGATTGTTACATACTTGAACACCAAAGAAAGGAAAGGTAGCAGAACCCGGCTTCTGCGGCCAGGCACCAGGTAAAGGTGTAATCTGCACATGCATCATGTTAGTTAAAACCTAGGAATTAGATTAACAGAAAACTTCACATCTAGGAATTGAACTCATATTACCACAGAAAACCAGACATATACCAAAATGGCTACTGGCCATTACCAAACCCATGGATGGAAAGATGGGATGTTTACTTACCATGAAGCCACCGGTCTCTGTTTGCCACCAGGTATCTGAAATAGGGCACTGTGAATCCCCGACAACATTGTAAAACCACCTAAAAGTTTTATATAATATATATAAGGAAGTTGTTAAAATGCAAAAAACAAGATGCAAAGAGCTCCTAGATCAAAGAGACAGGAATGAACCTCCATGCACTAGGATTAATAGGCTCTCCTACGCTACCAAGAACACGGAGAGATTTCCGAGAGTAACGAGTGACATACTGCATTAAAGCACCAAAAGGGTAAATAAACGTAAATAATCAGATATTAAAATTGGCTATTCATAGGTTGAACAACAACTCAAGGACTGCTGTGCCAACTGGCATGAGTCATAATGTGTCATGTCAGATACGCACCAGCGCATGTGCACCCAAATACACACTCCATTGACTCATGCTATAGGTGCCAACGTATGTCTCAATCAACTTTTTGGACAAGGTTAGCTACCACAAGGGCATGCCAATAAATTTTCGTGATTATCTTATCTGACTAAAAAGACTGTGGATCATCAGTCTTTGGTTTTTATATCACTAAAAAGGCATACCCAGTTCACGAGGTTCTCGCCGATGTGGAGTCTCGGGAGGGTCAATGTACGCAGCCTTATCTTTAAACGTATGCAGTCTTTGGCTTCTATATCACTAAGTTAGAAAATGTATAAAAGAATAATTTATTAACTTTGTTTATCATCTAGATAACAGAGTCAGAGTAAAGTATACCTTGAGCGGGTGGATTAAAGATAGGACTTGTGTGATGCAACTTTATAAGGTATGCGAGAATATTACAACACATGCAAGGTAGAATGCAATGGTTTAGGACCCAAAACTTTCTTCTGAATTTTATAAGGTGAGATGATTTGACAAGGAAAACTTGTGCGAGAAAGTTCAGATGAGTACCAACAAAATGCTCAACAATCTACTTAGTTTGCAGTTTGTACACCATGTATTTCAGGATTTGAATAAGAGACATGCACCATGCAACGAAAATAGCATCTAACTGAGCAGATCCATCTTATACAATTATTGGTATGCTGAAACCAAGCAGATAATTTTGGAGCAAGCATGATTTGAAACGATTGACTATGAAACAAGCCAAAAAACTATGTTGATGATCAAGGAAATATCCCAAGATCTTTTACCTCATTTCCTTCACGCATCAGTGAACGCACCAAAGTTGGAGCAGTGTAAAAGATTGTAACCTTATATTTATCAACGATATCCCAACAACGTCCACTATCAGGGTAGTTTGGAGCCTGCAGATATTCCCATTGTAGTAACAAGATCAAAAGATAGTGTTGACATAGATGAGAGAACAAGATCTGAAGGGTCAATCGTCTATCAGGAGATCAGAAATATAACTAAGGAACCAGAATATAAAATTTTATGAATCAAGACTGAATGTTGTCATAAAAAATACATAATACAATTTCATTAAAACTAAAAAGAAAAAGAAAAGGATGGCATCACAGGCAATACCCCTTCAAATACCACAACAGTAGCTCCATTCAAAAGAGGGCCATATGTAACATAGCTGTGTCCTGTGATCCAGCCACAATCGGCAGTACACCTGAGGTCAGTAGGATAAGAGAGGTGAAGGCAGTCCAGAACACTTGTGTGGAACTGATCTTAAGAAACATGCTATGGGTTAACCACGAAAATACTAGCATACCAATATATATCTGATGGCTTATAGTCAAATGCATATTTGAATGTTGTTGCAGTATATACCATATATCCCCCGGCTGTATGCAGAACACCCTGGATATTAAGGCATAAGTACCCAGCACTTGGCAACAAAATAATGCTGAAAAAAATAAAACAAGAAAGCTCCATAACCTTTGGTTTTCCAGTGCTACCACTTGTGTACAAGAGAAATAATGGATCTTCTGCATCAACCCATTCTACAGCACACTTGGTTGGAAATTGTGGGACAACATCCTGATTGTTGCAATATGAAAGGAATAAGTTGTGTTTCATGTACCAATTGCAAATTAAAAGATGTGAACAAAAAAATGAAAGTCTCGTTACAACTGAATAACTGAAAAGTTATATCCGTAATATGCCAGTACTGAGAAAACCAGCAGACTGACCTGCCACCAGACATCTCTTCCTTCTGTCCACTTGGTATCTTCTCTCTTCATTGCCGACTGGTTTTCAAAGGTCAAGCACAGGCCTGTTCAAGCCACAGAAAGTCAGACATGTAAGTCTGTTGTGCTCCATCTATCTCTGTGCATAAGCTAGTTAACATGATCATATATGTACTATGTAAGATTCTTCATATTTAGCTTAACCAAAATAAAATTAACAATTTGGAAGTGGACTAAATGACATAAAAGAACAGAAGTCAAATGTGAATGTAATTCATCAAAGATGAGACAGGAGGCACAAATGTTTAGTGGACTACCATGATAGACAATTATTATTCAATAACATGTTAAAGATGCTCGTAACAAGAACCAACATACCTACAGGGACTCCATTTTTGACAGATTCAATGAGGGCGCTGTCAACTATCTCTTTGAGATGGATGGCTTTGGAACCTCTCTTCACAGCATTGCAGGTTATTACAACCTTAGGTTTGCAGTCGATAATTCTTTGTGCAAGAGACTCCGCTGAGAAGCCTGCAAACACAACCTGAACAGACCATTTCACATATTAAAACTAATCTTGCCCCCAAAAAGCTTGAGAGGAAGTTCATGAGCTTAGGAAAATACCGAGTGGACTGCACCGATACGAGCACAGGCTAACATTGTGATTGGCAACTCCATCAGCATAGGGAGGTAAATCACCACCGCATCTCCTTTCTGAACCCCGACATGTTTCAAGTAGTTGGCGAGCTGACACAGACCACTCTTGATCAATTAAACAAGACAAAGTAATGGCTATTAAATTCAACCTTAGGATGGCTTCTGGCATACCTGGCAAACCTTCTCCAAGAGTTCAGCATAAGTCAACTGCCCATCATCCCCTGGTTCATTGCCTTCCCAATAGATAGCAACTTTTCCACCATTTCCTGCCTCAACATTCTGATCCACAGCATTGTAACAGATGTTCGTCCTGGCTCCTTTAAACCACTGTGATCGCCACAGTAGTACAGAAGTCAGCGTCTTCGACATACCATAAATATGAATAAACCCAGCTGAAAGATTACACAACCAACCTCAAACTTGACGGTCCCCTTGGTCACATCAATGTTTTCACTGTAGACCTCCGGATACCACTTCTCTCTCCAGTAAAACTGGGAAGCGATCTCCGACCAGAATCCTGCAGGATCCTCCACCGACCTCTTGTACATTTTCCAATACTAGTAGTCCACGAAATAAATGCAATGATGACAATCATACAATTAGGTGAAGGAAACAAACTTTGCTCAAACTGCGAAATCGTTTAATCTGCACCACCAGGAAAGCATATATTCTTCCGGGAGCAACGGAATCTTCATCGGAGGTCGGGTATTTAGCTCAAAACCTAATGTTTTGCTCACAAGAGGCCGGATTAAGGGTTTTAGGGAGACGAAACGCACGCACCTGTTCGGGGGAGGAGACGAGGGCCTGGCGGGAGAAGTCGTGGGAGGGGAAGACGCGGTCGTTCTCCTCGGACGCGAGGGGCTCGCCGAGGATGACGGCGTTGAGGTGGGAGATCTGACCGGCGCCGGATGGCAGCTGGGTCATCGACTCCACGTGCCGGAGGTGGTCCGAGGAAGCCAGGCTCCGCTGCGGAGACGCCTCCACCGCCGCCTCGCCCGTCGTCATCTCAGGACAAAGTCACGCCGCTGCCGCGGAGACCAAGAACGGAACGCAAGAACGGGAGGAGGCGGAGGGCGTTGACGAAGAAGATGGAATCGAAGAGATCTGACATGAGAAACCGGTTGTTTTCGGCATATATTTATAATAATAATAATTATTATTATTATTATTATTAATTACTGCAAACATGACGGGCAGTTCTGTGAACAAAAACAAAAATATATTATTATTATTATTATTATTATTATTATTATTATTATTATTATTATTATTATTATTATTATTATTATTATTATTATTATTATTATAAAGAAAGGGTTTGGATGTTTGGATTCGACTACGATGAGAAGTAGATTAGTGTTGAGATATGGTGAGGAGTTGACAGTATTTTGTTGGCAAAATAGGAACTATAAAAAATGATGCACTGCTTAGCATGACAGATTTGTATATCTATTATGTACGTATATCAGCAAGGCTGGAGGATTTGCATAATAACCGGAGACGAGCAAATCTCTTGTTTTGGGCTTTGAACCAAATCTTGGGATTCCATGGTTGAAATATGGCAAGAACGTTAAATTATATTACTTTGTTCTATGGATGTCAATGTTCCACTCCTCGTTATACGCTCCCGTAGATTAAAGTAAGATTAGTGTGGGACTCGTGCGTGACCCAATTCGAAGTAAGATGAACGATCTCGATCTATGTGGATCTCTCGTTCTCGTGTTATTATTATATTAGATTGATCAGATCAATTTGTTGATGATTATTGTGTTTCGTCTCTGCAAATAATTCAGAGTGCCCGAAATGACACAGAATTTGCATTTGCATTTCCATTTCCATTTCCAGATCGATTTGAACGTGTAGCAAATGACAATACTATTGAAACACGAATTATTGTCATTCGATAATAATCTCATCTTCCATTCAAACTCGTACATCTGCCTGATATTATTGAATTTTCTTTCGGTAATTATTGAATCTTTCCTTTATAGAATTATATATTTTTATTTTCCGTTCAATTCGAAAAAGTAACGATAGGAAATTATGATTTAAGGTGAGAAATATCTGCTAATGTCCATCTTCCATTCAAATTAAATTCACGTCCGGTTGTGATGATAGTGACGGATGATGCGGTGCAACATACTCGCTGAGTTCACCAAACCAAGAATATGGCAAGCGGTTTTGGTGAGTACCTGTCAGGGGATCAAATCACTATAGGAAAATGTTTAGATAGGATGCCTTTAAAGAGACGGGTAGGTGAACTGCGTCCAGCAAACATCAAATCGAACGCACAAGAAAGCAACAATAATGAAGGCATGCAATGGCCGGGAAATGACGGTCGTTTCAGCTTTACAACAAGCTACGAGTCCTCGAGGAACAGACAAATGATGGAGCAATTCAACAAGAGAATCCCCAAAAGGAAAAGCAGTGATTGCTCAAACCATACATTCTTGTGGCCATGCTTTGTTGATTACTATGACGGGAGTAATATCAGATGAAAAGTCTAAGCACGCACAGTATGGGAGGAACAACCATCACAACACGGCAGCTCATAAAGACCATAAGCAGCTCCACAACCAACCCACCAGTGCCCAAACCCAAGAATGTGTGGCAAGACTTCGCCATACGATGATGCTGCATCATCAACTTTATAATAGAAATTTGAGCAAGCTGTTGTGTATCAGATATTTAGGACTCATTCCGGGAAAATTATCTACGGTGCAGTGGTCACTTCCGGCAGCGTTCATGATACCGCTATCAATAAACGAAGTGAGGCTTCTCACACCCCCCACTCTAGATGTCAACATTCCAACCTTCGATCTTTGTAATGGTGTAACTTCAGAAAACCAAAGAGATATTAGACAGCCACAACAGCACACATGACAACCACTGCACATACTTCTTAACTTCTCTCAATGTGTGACACAGTAGTTCACATATTATGTGAACTACAGGCACCGAGACAACAGAAAAACAAGCCTAGATTGTTGATTAAGCAGTAATTTACGTTTTTCTTATAAAACTCAGAAATCCATGCCAATGAACTAGAGCTACTAAACATATGCATCAACAGTTGATCGACTGAATGTTCGATGCAAACATCAGGATCCATGAACCGAAGAATTCTGCAACTCACAAACAGCATATATAGCTGATGAGACAGACGGACAGCCAGTTTTGTTGAGATCATTTTCAGGATCTTGCTCAATGGTTCACCAAGTCTTGACAAAATATTAAAAGCTGGTACGACAGGTAGATTATGCCTTTGAGCAATTCATCAAGTTCAAATGGATCTCATGCATGAAGTACGAGACTAGCATTACTCTAAGACATTCTATTGAAAGAAAGTACAAAACGTTTGCTTTTCAAGTGATCCATGTAACATGAATAATAGAATCAGCATCCCATCTAGATCACCCGAAATGAGAAACGACTCCATGAATGGTCTTAGAGATAGTCTGAAAGCATATCTTCTCTATGAAGCTTGATTTTCATCAGCAGCAGCTTCAAATGTCTCTCCAGGCACCAGCTCAGGAACATCATCGTCATCATCCTCCTGTTTCACAGCAGCTCCTGTGCTTGGCACCTGTTTCTGTAGGTGCTCTGCAAGCTTCTTCAGGTTCTCTAAGTTATCGGGCCCTGAAAAAAAATTAAAATATCTTCATAAGTTTATATAAAACAAAATTATCAAATATGAAATCCTTAAAGATTCTAAATTCCAAGTTCAGTCATTGAATTAGCTTATTCATACAAACAATTGCAAAAACAGCAGAAACAACCACATTCAGTGAGCTAGTGGATAAAGAAACCATCAGCGATACTTGGGGAAGCAGTGAAATGTAGTCAAAATGAATCTAAAAAATGAGCAAGGTAAGAAACAAAAGCTAGTTTACTTCAGTTGCAAATTGGTAAACCCTCAGCGACACACAGGTTGTGGCGGAAGCAGAACATAATGTCCAAACTCCAAACTATAAGAACATTAAATGACCAAAAAGGCTAGTGCGTAGTAGTAATTAGATTACCAAGTTGGTTAATGATCCCAGGTAGCAGGTCTTGAAGTTCTGTCACCAGAAATACATGTTAGTTGACTTAACTAAGGATACAAGAAAAAGATAATAATTACATAAAATTCTAAAACATGATCTCATGTATCATCTTGTAACAATCAAAGCCAGGCTACTCTAAGAAGCATTCATTAAGTGGCATACTCTTTGTCTGAGGAGTTCCACTAACAACCCATGTATTGGCTGCAATTGAAGCTTGCACTGAGGAAAAAAGGCAACCCATATGTCATTTAGCAAAATAATTTAGTGTTTCGTTTGATGAATATAATATGCTTTACCTTTAGGGTTGGCAAATTGAATAACCAAGTCATCCTTAAAAATGTTGACTTCTTCTATAGCAGGGATAGTATTCACGCCTATTCTTTTCAAAGTGCTTTGAAGTCTCTTGTCATCAGTTGTTGTAGTCTTGTGAACTGCCTTCTTCTTCCTGATCAAAATGGAACCAGCAATATAAGGCACTTGAGTGTGTCTAATACACCTCTCTATAATACTAACACATATTGTACATTAACAAGAATTTTAACCTCTATTTATAACCGCAGATAATCAAATAGTCAAGGTACTCGCATTCCAAAAAATATATATATGACAACAATGAACCTGCGCATACTGCCCTTTCCACCAGTGCGAACGGCACCAGCCATCTTCATAAGCTTCTCTACGTTCATCTGTATGGGAAAGAAACACCATGTGACTTGGATAATAAGGTTCTTTCACTATGCTTTCAGTTCCCAGTCAAACAAAAGAGGATAACTTCCAAGGGAATCCATGATTCGAACACTTATGAAAGTCGCAAGAATATACAATACAATCAGGTAAAACATGAAATCCCAACTATCCACTCTTATTTGGCCAAGATTGAACTGGAATAAAACCAAATAGTGGGTTTCATTTTACACATTGAAGAGTTGATCCTCAAAGAAGACTATACGTTAACGAAAATGCCATTTTCAGCTATTTGATTGATGAATATATTATAATCTTGCACATTTCAAATGGCTGAAACTAGAAACCCATAGTAACAATGAACTGAGTATAAGAATAGCATTTATATCATCCCCATATGCTTCAATTTCACTTAGATCAAGAAACCACACAGACGAGGATCTCATATACGGCAACAAAGTTGAGGCAGTTACATATATGGCACAAGAACATCAGTTCTTGAAGCCCATCAAAGCACCAAGAACCACAAACTTGGAAGGAATCTCATTTACCGCAACATTCTCACCATAGGTCACTAACCCTCTTCAAAACAATTATTACTAAGTAATATTACTTTGCGAAGACCATATCAAGGAGGCGCAATAAAAGGAACCACACCAATGAAAGAGGGAGCGCGCGCGCATAGTGAGAGAGTGAGAGTGAGAGAGAAAGAGAGAGAGAGAGAGAGAGAGAGAGAGAGAGAGAGAGAGAGAGAGAGAGAGAGAGAAGAAGTA